ACCAAGTGTGCACTGTGCTATACTAGTAGTACTGTACATTCTTAGGCAAGAATGTACAGTGCTACCACACAGAGCTCAGAATGAAATGGGAACAGTGAGGGTGCTTCAGGTTTTACAGCCACCTCTGTGCTCGACTTTGACAATTATTTATTACCACTAATATTGTGCTTTGTAAGCTTATACAGTACTTTATGAAGTAAGACATGTTTCCTATTTTTAAGATCTTATAATCTTGTGGGCTGATAAGGGGTGCAGATTATCCCTTGGATGTTCATAAATAGCATTAGCACTAAGAGTTTTATTAGCACTGGGTCCTTTCAAGCCTGTGGCTCTTTCTTTTTCTTAACAACACTTCCCTAGTCAGGTGCCAAAATAAGGATTTCTACTGCATGATGTTCCAGGCTGGAATACTGTGGGCATTCTTTGGTTTTTCTTGTAGTGAAAGAGCAAAACCCAAGCAGAATCCCAGCACAGTGGCTGTAGCTCTGCATGGGTTTAATCCACAGCCTTTGCTTGCCTCTGAGACTGCAAGTGTGGAGTTTGGGGGATGGCAGCAGAGAGCAGGCTCGGGAGGTCTGTGTGTGTGTGTGCTTGCGCGTGTTTTAAATAAACAAACAATGCAACAGCAACTTCAACAAATTGTGAGCGGTGCTAATTTGTTATAGTGCTGTCTTGCCTTCTGGCAGTGTTGATTTAGGAGAAGCTGAGCAGACTGGAACGGATGCAGGGAGCTGCCGGTTCTCTTACTCTGTAAATGGTTCAGCATAAAATACTTTTAAGGGTCCTGTCCTGAGAAGCTTTCAGATTACAGGGTAAAGCACATACATAGGCTGTCAATCCCCTTTTCAAAACCAACTTGGTTGGTTTGTCAATCCCCTTTTCAAACTTGGGCAAAAGTACCTTTCCCCCTGCTTTGCTCCACCCCTTCTACTTTCTTAAAATGAAGAGAAGTTTTAAGTCTTAATTCATTACAAAAGCCTATAATTTGTGTACTTTGAGGACTGCCAGGAAATCCTTGGCCTTGACAAGAATAGTGTGTAGGGAAGGAAAGGAGGAAGATCCTGTGCTTTGGACTGTAGCAAAGTTTTCAACACCCCATGACCTTGCTGGGCTGCCTTTCATAACGTGCCTGGGGCTGTAATCCCCCAGGCTGAGAAGCTGTCTGTCAGGCAGGGCTGGCCAAATGTGCCCGAGGTATCTGCAGCCCTGGACCACTGCTGTGCAGGGCTGCAGGACAAAGCAGCAGGATGGGAGCCTTGCTGGGAAGAGGTGGATTTTGGAAACATGCATAGAGTGACCTCCCTGCAGTCTGTGAACTGAGTTTAAATAATGCCTGAAGTCTCAAGTGAAAAAGACAGAGGAATAAAACAGTCAAAATAAGAAGTAGGGGTTTAGGAAAAGCAGCCAAAGAAATGAAGGCTTTTGAAAGTGAGTAAACCCTGCTTTCCCATTAGGTCATCTTCAGCTTGGAGAGATTTGGATGCAATACAGGCAGTTTGCAGAACTTTGAGTCTGTTAGGCCTTCTGCTTTTACAAGCAATAGTGGCTTTCTGGCCTCCTCTCATTTGCCAGGCTCAGATGTGCTGAGACTTCTTGGTGGCTGCAAAGATTCAAATACAAAGGATTCCGGGTGATGGGTTAAGCATCTGACTTGGAGGGATGTTTGGTAGGCAGTACAGTCCTAATACTGCTGGGACCAACTCTTAGAGTGGTTTGCTTGAAAGACTTCACCAAAGTGAAACTTAAAACCAAAGATATCTTTGCTAAGTGTATGGGGCTGTGTATGGTCAGTTTTTTTGGGAAAAGCAAAGAAAAAATGTGGGAAAGTGCTAAAAGTGCCATATTTAAGGTATCATTCATATTAAGAACTGTTGCTGGATCTAGAGGTATGGGTAAAGGGAATGAGGTTTTTTCTTACTGGAAAAAAACAAGACAGCAAATGCTTGTTTTGTGCGCACTGTGCTACCACTGCTCTGGCTCATGGTGAGAGAGATGACATTTTGGTCCAACACAGTTACTACACCCCTTAGCACGGAAACTTGCTGTTAACTATTGCAAGCTTGTGAGGTTAGCAGTACTGTGTGTGCAGACTGCATCTCTCTGCAGAAACGTCTGCTGAGTCCACACAAGAAATGAAAATAAACAGGCCGATTGGGAGGATCTTTATCAAACCTGTTCCCATTTTTCCTAGTATTCTGAGGCTTTGTTTGCTCTAACAAATCGTGTAACTAAGGAGTCTGAGTCACAGTCACTAGTTCCAGCTGCCTGCCTCATCCCTGTCCTGGAGATCCCTCCCCAGTTGCAGGGACAGTTGAAAGGGTCATGTATTTGCTCCAGTATTACTGCATTTCACAACCTGCTATCAGCTTGTACCTGTGGTGACTCAGAGCCCTAAAGCAGTGCTGCAGCTGGGAGTGTCCTGTAGGACAGTCTTGGTTGGAAGAGGGTCATGACATTCCTCCTTCTCCACAGTGCTGGGTGTACTCCTGCTCTCAGAGTGATGCTCAGCATGAGGCTGCCACCCCATGCACCCCCTGCCAAGTGGCCTGCCTTACTGAGGGACAGGGCCCAAGGCTGCCACTCTCTAGGATTAACTGGGAGGAAACAATGATCCTTTAGTCATGTCCTAAATTCTTGCACTGTAAAGGGAGAATTCTGTACAGGCTCAGAGGTGGCTGGGAAACAAAAATTTTGCATACCAAAGGGGCCTTTGAGCTACTTCATTCAATATGTTGTTATATTTTTGTGCAATAGGGAGTAAATAAATGAATTAAATGAGATTAGCATTGGACATTGACGTTGCCTTTACTATTTGCAATGCAGGTACAACTAAAACTGAGTTTGATCAGTTGTAGGATGAGAGGAAGAGCCCAGAGTCTACTGCTGGTTACTAAGTGGTCACGAGCTTCTGAAGCTTTGTCTTGTGCCACTGCTCTGCTCCTGAGATCAACTGTGCACTGCAGATATGCAGGAATTTTTAATGCCAGACTCTGGCTGACAAGCTCTGCAATGTCCATGCCTCTCCCCTTCTCCTCCCAGCAGAGGTTTGGGTAGTTCTAGTCTCCTATGTGTCAGCAGTGACAATAAATGTATAATATACAAGCACTCTTTTTAGGAGTTGGCAGGAAGCTTCATTTCTGACTGCAGTGAGATGTTCTAACAGTAGGAAACACCTTTGGTTGAAGCAGTTCTCCGCTAAACTCTGCCCTAGAGGGGAAATACAGCTATGGAGAAGAGCTCTTGCTTCACAGCGGCAAGAAGCAAATTTGATTGCAATCTGGGTGGGAAAAACCTCATGTTTGAGCTGCTGTTTGAGAAATACCTTTATGCAGCATTCAGCCTGTGTTAAACTGAGAATTGTTGGTGTTGCTGAGGGTTTTGCAGAGTTGTGATGCAGCCAGAGTTCAGCTTGCTCTAATGCCGTGCAGAGCGTGATCTTCTGGAGAGGGGGGAGCTCCAGATTCCTGGGGCTGTGGGCCATGATGCTTTAAGTGTGGTAGTTAACTGTGGGTTGGCCTGTTCATGCTGGCAGTGGTCTGTTCAGACTAGTTCAGCAAATGCTCTTGGCTGAGCACAGCCCAGGTCAGTAGGCAAACAGTTGCTTACATTTCACTTCTTCATTGTATTGACAAGATTTAAAAATCTTCAGCCTACAGCAGTCAAAACAGGGTGATCTGAATACAAAAGGTCTATTATTTCAGTGTGAAAGGGTTTGGTTACAGAGTTGTGGGGATAAGTATGCAGGTGGGAATGATGGGAACACTGTCCTGGGCCTAAGCCCAGCAGATGTTCAGGAAGAATGAACTATCTTCTCTGTCCTTTTCATGACAACCCATTCCATTTTTCAGGCCTGTGTCCTCTTTTATGATCTCTCTCATTCAACATTAAGTATTATAGGTCTTTTTCATTTGGCCTTTTATCTTTTAAGGCTGATAATCAATAGTATTCTCGCTTTTTAAATGTAAGATTTCTATCTCCAGAAACACAGCTGGAACCTGCAGCCATCAATGTGATAAGAGATATGCACGTTTCACTTCACCATGAGGGTCTAAAAACCCATGTTAAATCCCTGCCAGGCTGCAGGTTTATTTCTGTACTGTTTTTTGGTGGGTTTGGGCTTTGTTTGTTTTCACTGGGGCAGCATCACCACTTGTAGAAAGGAACCTGTTCTTAGCATCTACCCTGAGACTGCTCCACGATAATCCCGCTGGAGCTGATTAGAGGAACTTTGTGGGAAGGATATGCACTGCAGAGGATACAAGCAGCTTGTCAAACCTGTGATATGTGCCTTTCCCTGACATGGAAAAGATGATGTTGTTTTCCTTTGGGCAGGGGAGGGTGGAATTATAGATCTTAAGTTTTGCGACGCTCATACAAGCTGCGGTTCACTGTGAATCAACTTGATCTCCAGTCTCCAAGAATGGAGATGAAATTATCAGCGAAGCATCATTATAAATAGGAGAGGGTATACAGTGTCATCTTCTCCCACGTTGCACTGAAGTATCCAGCCTGGTCCAATGCCATAACATCTCTAGAAGATATTTTCAAAGGCTTGGGAAGTGGGACAGGGAAATGGGGACAACACAGTGGATCAGGTTTGAAGTGTTTCTTCTGCTGCCTGTACTATGTTGGGAATGAGACCATAAAGTGCTGGCACCAGGCTGTTCTTGTCATAGAGGCATTTCTACATGGTGGTGATATTTCATTGCCTGAATTTCTGGGCAGAAGGAAGCTGGTGCAGACATCCTGGGATCTGCTGGTTTTAGATACACGTGAACTGGTCCCCCTGAAGCTCAGTGCTATTGGGAGTTGTGAATGTACATGGCCAGGGAGCATCAGTAAGAAACTTGCAGAGTCCTGTTCTGATTCTGTCACAGTTCAACAGCTGTGGGGAAATGGGTGGAGGGGAGGTTGTTCTAGCAGTTACATATTTAAGGCAGGTGGCTGTTTTAAAATGTACGTTTCAATTTTGATTGCAGTATTTTAATTGCATTTAACAGCGTCCCTGCTGGTTCTCCATTCTGCATCCGTGCAGCCACGTTCTATTGATGGCCTGTTGTGATTTCAATGGAACATCATGGGATGTACCTGGCACGTCGGGCAGCACTGGATGGAGGTGCCTTTAGCCCAATGTACCTGGCATGGTAAGCGGCAACCAAGCGGTTAAATCTGCATTCTACTGCTCACAGTTTCAGCTTGTATAGCAAGGTGTTCCTGCTTTGTTGCAGCCTTGCACTGACTGCAAATCACTTTGCTCTCCTGATTTTAGTGCTTTCATGCACACAGAGCCCCTACCCTTTTCACCCATGGAGATTCCCCTTCCCTGGGAAGTTTGCCATGCAGTAGAGAAGGGCTTAGCCCTGTCAGGCTCTCCTTGTTGTTCTAGAACATGAGAGAAGGAACTGGGAAATCATCTCTCTTTTTTTTCTCTCCTTTTTGGGCCAGGAGCTGGTAGCAGTTGAGCAGGTATTGCCCACGCCAAAATATCCAAATGTTGCCGCACAGAGGTACCAGACAGGTGCTCATGTCCTTAAGCAAAGCTGTGCCATTTCTGCAGGAGTCCTGCAAGAGCTGCCTCGGGGAGCCAGGAGGGCAGTTCTGCCTGGCACTAATTGGAATGTAACAAATTAAACAAGGGCCACTTTCAGTTTGCTGATGTGGTACCTTCTGCAAAATGATCCTCCATCCTCCATTTTCCTTCTCTTTTCCATGCCCACACCTGCAAAATCAGCTGCACATCCTGATCTGTCCTGCATGTTTTCTCTCCCTTCCCCAGCTCTGCAGACCTCTGCCTGAGTAACTTCACATGTTGGTCTTAGCTATTTTAAAGTGCTAAATATTTGTGTGAGAAAAACAAGAGTGCTGCATCCTGTTTTCTGCTTGAGCCTTCTTCACAGAGCTTTTGCTGTTCCACTGCCAGTGATGAAAATGCATGTTTGTGCCTCAGCTTCTGAATTCTGCTGTCTGACTGCTCCAAGGGGCTGGGAATAGGGAACCATAGTTGGACTAACATAGTTCCAGCACTTCTCCCCATGCTTCTGCTGTTCTAGAATGTGAATATCTTTAAAAGTCTCGGGCTAATGTCCTGCCAAATGCAACTCCTGGGGGCAGGTCAGCTGTGAACCACCCACTACACTGATACCTCTGAGGGTCCCGGTTCTGTTGGGATGTGGGGAAAGGAAGATCAGATGAGCCAGTGGGGAACAGGAAAGCTCTCTTCCCAATGCGGTCATTAAGTGCTCAAAAAAAAGTTGGTTCAGCTGAAACTGAAGGATGCAGAAGTCATGTGTTTCAGTTTCACTCAGTTCCAGTAGCAGCTGGACACAGCATTTTTAATGTCATAAACTGGTGGGAGAAAGCAGTGTAGGAAACAGTGGATTTCATTTTGTCTTATTCTCCATGCTCACTGCTGCAGTGTCTGCTCAGTGCAGCTCAGCTACTTGGGAAGGTGGAGAAATAAGTAAGCAGGCCACTGTCTCTTCCTGGGTCTATTATAACATGCACAGTAGGCTGATGTTTTAACAGCATCTTAATTTGATACATCACATCTAATCTGTTTGTTGGTTTTTATCTGCAGTACTGTTAACTCACTGTTCAGGTGCTTGGTGTCTAGCCTTCTCATCCAGCCACAAATCCTCTACGTGAAATGAGTGATTCCTTAGATCTGTTTATGATTGATTCTTTGCTTCACTGGTGTTGCTTCTTAAAAGGTAAACAATATTCATGTGCTGCAATCTATAACTCAGAGATGAAATCAAAGAGCATCTCCTGTCAGAGGTTGCTATGATAACACATTTAGCATTCATTCAGCAATTACTTTTAGGTAGAGATTTAGTGATATTAAAGAAAATCAAACCTGTAGTGAATATGTAGATTTTATACTGTTGAAAGGGGTGAAGGGATTTCTCTTCTCCTCTATTTAGCAATTTCATTTTCTGTGGTGTCCAGACTCTTTGTGCAAAGAGCAGATGAAGTTTTTCCTGCTGTGTAGTGAGAGCAGCACAGCTCCAGGAGCAGCCTGTGTGTTGTGCACAGCCTTGCTGCCCACGGGGTCGCAGTGTGCCCGAGGCTGGGCACAGCAGCTCGCAGTTGCCCAGCTCCTGGGGCAATATTGTGCATTAAGATGCTGTCAGCTCTTAGCTTGCAAAGCTTTATTTCATGTGTGGCATCTGCTTGCAGCATTACTGTATTCTGTGATTTGTGCCCTGTACTTCTCATGTCTTTGCATGTGCTGTGTCTCAGTGTCATGGATATGGTGGAGGTAGTGGAGAGCCTTAGCCTTGTTTCATTCCCTTCTAGCATGGGAGTATTTGAGCAGGTTCACTGCTCGGAAAAAAGTGTGTCTTGAATGTGAGAAAACCAAACTAAATCTGGAAAAAAGACCATTACTGCTGCTATTTGTCCAGAGCCTTCTGTAATCCTCTTTTAAATGCAAAGGGGTGAAATTTTGCACACTACATTCAATGTTTAAAGACTGTGGCCCCAGTGAGACGTTTATGTATTCTTGAGGTCTGGGGAGTTGGATTTTTTTACTAGAAATGCACCTGAGCCTTTTCTGAACCAGGGCTCCTCTGAACTGGGAGTATACTTTTTCTGGGTTGTTTTTGGTTTGTTTTTTTGGTTTTTTTTCAGAAAACAGAAAAGGAAGGGTTATTAAAAATGATACTGAAATACAAGAAGTATAAACCCACTGTGATTTTTTAGAACTTTGGAGGGGTTGTGGTGTTGTTATTCAAATGTTACGGTTTGTTAAGAAACACTCTGCAAATTAATGGATAGCAAGGCCTTTCTGAGGCTGCACCTGCCATTTGTTTGGGCAAATAACTTTTAAACAGGATTTAAACTCACAGTTGTCCTTGGTCCCATGCTTTCAGCTAGAAGTGAGATTCTAGGATTGCCATAAGTTAAGAAATAATGCCTGCTTCTCTTTTGCTAACAACTTTTCCAACACACCTTTCCTCCTCCACCTCTGAAATGCATCATGGTCAAAGAAGGGTTTGTAACTAGGCACCTCTATGAAATACCTGGACTGGATTTATTTCTGTTGAGGACTGCACAAGATACACAAGGCAGGTTGCTATAAGGCTTTTGTCAACAAAGGGACATCAGCCAAAGGAGTGTTCTCTGAGCCATTCTCCTGTCCTGGTCAAAACCCTTGGTGGGCAATTCTGACAACATTTTACACAATGCTCTAAGCTTGGTCAAAGGTTTTGCTGCCTTGATTCATTACATTAATTTTTTTGGGGGTTGCTAAATCCATGTTAGACTTCAGCTAATAAATCCAAATTTGATAAGGCAGGGTTATACTGCTTGCACCTGGCCACTGATTTTGAAATCTACTGAAGGTAATAGCCTGCCTTATACATATGTCTTGAACATGAACAGTCCTGTAAAATCTGACATGTGAGATAAATAGAGGTAATTTAAGCAACTTGTACTATGCTAGTTTTTATGCTGCAGAACATACTCAGTAGTAATAACATTATCTTTCTCATGAAGGTCAGTAGCAGAATTAGAATTCTAACTGTTTCCAGGGCTTTCTCTGCAGGCTCGTTACCTGGTTTCAATATAATTTAAGGCAGAAAGAAAAAAAAAAAGTAAAACAAAAAAAAGTAAAATGCTAAAAATATTCTGCATTAATAGATGTTGTAAGCCTTAAGGCTTAGACAACTTGAATACAGTAATTTCTAGACCTCTGCTTTAAGTGCTACATCCGTGGGAAATAAGCCCACTTTAACTTCAGGAACATCATACTATTATTACTACTACTACTACTTTGTTTAGGCAGAAAATACTGGCTGTGCTGTTTCCCTTCCTTTCCCATATTTGTCCTTTATGGAACACTTAAAAGTCATATCCAGGGATTTTGTGTGCTACATGCATGGAAAAGCACCATGATGTTTGCAGTGAAATTGTAGTGCTAGGCTGTTTCTTGCTATCTGTAGTACTAGGCTGTATCTTGCTATAAACGCAGGATGCATTTATATAGCAAGATACTGTTAAGTTGCAAGCCATGTTTTTGTCCTCCCCTATCGATGTATCTCAGTGACCCAGAAGTAAGGGCTCTCACTGGCTTGGCTAGATAAAAGTGGGTATTTTGTGCTTCTGTGCTGCTGCTTCTTCCCCTTAATCAGCAATTCTGGAAGCAATCCACTAGAACCAGACATGCTGCATCCTCCATCCTGCAACTCTGATGCGACTAATTACATCAAAACTTGGTTTTTAAGTGCTCAGCATTGCTCGGTGGAGGACAGGAGCCCCTGTCCTATCACATTTTTCTGATTTTTGCAGGGTGAGTTTCTGTTACAGAAACACTATAGGTGGAAGTAGCACCATGGCAAGCCTGTACTTCCTCCTTTTTGCTGCCACCCTTTCTAAAGCCATCGAGCTCTGGGAACAACATCCATGAGCACAAAGGCACTGTGGTGAATCCACCATCTTCTTGGGTTGCAGTCCATTGATGAAACAAAATCAAATGGGAAAGCAGAGCAGCCTTTTTAGCTGGGGGTCAGGGTGATGAGCCAGAGGGATCTGTGTGGATGCTAAATTAGGTGCTGCTGCACTGAAGAGCCACCAAGAAATTCCACCAAAAGCATAAGCAAGCACCAGGCTGATCAGCAGACAAGTGAAGAGCTGTGTCCTGTGGAAGAAGGGAGGCACCTGCTTGACAGATCTGTTAGGAAAAGTACCAGGATAGTCAAGCAACAATGCTGGAGGAAATATTTCATTTGTTTACTTTTTGGTAGCTTTTTTCATAAAGCAAAACTTCTCTGTTGTGCAGAAATGGATGATGTAAATTTACCACCTTTCTGCCAAATGCAATCTTTCTATTTATCACCACATAGTAACAATCATATTTGGGGGAAGCAATTTTTTATACTAACTGCATCACTCCTTATTTCTTTTTGTTGTGTACCTATGCTTGGCACAGAGAGAACAAAATGCAGTCTAATGCTTCATCATTTGAACTCTGATGGGACAGAGCGTGGTAGTGGGACTCACAAACAATAAAAAAATTAACTGATGATGATTTTAAGAGAGAACCTAAGCTCCTAATTTCTCTGTATTTATGGCTTGCTTCTCCTTCAATAAGAGAAATGTTTCAATAATATGATGAACTGGGAAAGGAAGAAAGGAAGTAGAAGGCTAAATTGTGGTTGTTGTTAATTTGGTATTTAATTCCTCCTTTTGAACCTCAGAAACTATTTTACATCAACTTTAACAGATGCAAGCAGTAGTTGGCACTTTCAAACAAACACACACACAGAGAAACAAAACAAAAAAAAAGGAAAAAAAAATTAAAATTGATCTTGGATTCCCAAAGGCAATCCCAAATTGAATTCTGGGTTTTATGGATTGTAACATCTACCAAATGTGCAACTGCATTAGTTCTGACATATCTCAACATGGGTGTTTCCTACAGTCCATACTACTGCGAAGGCCAATATAAACATCTAAACTAAAATACATCATGACTACTGTTTGTAAAATGCATTAACTATATGCAGGTAACCACAATTTTCTCTTGTTACAGTATTTCAGGATAGAGAAACTGTGACTTGAGTTATGTTACTTGACTCTGTTATTTTAAACAAAATTTTTTTCAAAATTAAAGACAGAGCAAAATTAACTTGAGAAAAATGTTTCAGATTTATGAAGACATGTGGTGACATTTAGCTAGCTCAGCATCCTGAATTTCAGCCAGTTGAGGGTTGATTCTAACCCTACGTGTTAATGGATTGGGATATGGACACAGCCAGGGGAGTGGTTTTTAAAGCAGCTTTTCATACTCTTAAGGAGGCTTCTCATTCACACCTCAGTGTGGGTAATGCCATCTTCAATGGATTTACTTGCTACATGTCATTTTCTCAACCCCAGAGCAGCTAGGTGTTACAAGATTTCAACATGTAACAGCCAAGAAGTAAACTACATATTAAAGCAAGGAAACTGCAGTTTATGCTAATTATTGTACATGCTCAGATATGCAAATGACAGTGAAGTAGATGCTTGTCTTTTCTTCCACTTTTTCTCACTTCTCATCCTCCCTTCAAGTCTGTCAGCAGAGAAGAGCTTTACCTGTACCTAACTATTGTTTCCATGCTGGTATCTTTCGAATAGCGATTCCAGCCAATGACGATTGCTTTTGTAAAAAGATTATTACAAATCTGATTTTTGAAAGACTTGAATCAAGTCTTAGCATGTGAAATATTTCTCTGTATTCCCAGCAGGATCACAGCTTGCAGGGCTCAATGTACTCAGATCTCCCTAGTCAGTGTCCAGCCTAACATAGCCTGCACTGTGTTAAACCAGTCTATTAAATGTAACCTGTTCTAATGAAGACAGCAAGCTCACACCTCTCATCCTCCTGTTTTTCAGGTGGTAAGGTGAAGGTGAGAGGAAGAGAAGGTGGAGATGGAACTGCCAAATCATGCCAAACAACTGCTACTGCAGCTGAACCAGCAACGAGCCAAAGGTTTCCTCTGTGATGTGATCATTGTGGTAGAAAATGCCCTCTTTCGTGCCCATAAGAACATCCTGGCAGCCAGCAGCATGTATTTCAAATCCCTTGTCCTGCATGACAACCTGATAAACTTAGACACGGACATGGTGAACCCCACCGTGTTCCGGCAGATCTTGGACTTTATTTATACTGGCAAGCTCTTAACGACTGACCAGCCTGGTGAACAGAACTTTAATGCTCTCCTCACCGCAGCAAGCTACCTCCAACTGCACGACCTGGCAGCTCTCTGCAGAAAGAAGCTGAAGCGGAACGGCAAGTCCTTTGCTGGCAAGGCCGGTGGCCTTGGTGTTGGGAGATCTGCCAGGAGTCAGAGACTTTCCACTGCTTCAGTCATCCAAGCTCGCTATTCAGGGTCAAATGAGGGGTTGAAGGGCTCGCACTCAAAGGAGCTGTCAAAGGGAAAGCTCTCTGATGACGAGGTCTTCATCAGCAGCTCCAACCAAGAGAACTGTCACTCCTTAAGCAGGGGAACCAGCAAGAACGGTGGTGGGAGCAGCAGTGCGAATGGGAGCACCGGTGACCAGGAGCTAGGCCTTGACCTGTCCAAAAAAAGCCCCTCGCTCCCTGTCGCAGCCTCCCACGATGACACGCAGCACAGCGAAAGCCAGCACGGCTCTCCCCAATCTGCCTCAGCCCCTGCAGCCAACAGTGCCTCATCGTTCGACGAGTCTGGCGTCGGAGCCCCCCACAGCATGGCGGACAGCAGCGACCCCATGGAGATGGATCTGAGCGAGGAGTGCCACCACTCACTGACAGAGAGCAGCCAGCGCAAGGGCCTCCGGCACTCGTCCCGCAAGAAGGAGTGGATCAAGAAAGACAACGCCTTTGACCGTAAGGAAGGGGGCAAAGACAGGGACGAGGGTGAAGGGCTGCCCAATGGTATCCTGCTGGGGCCCTTGTCCAAGTCTGTGGAGAGGAGTCTGGCCGGGGCCTACGGGGCAGACCTGCCCTACCCATGTAAGGAGGAGGTAGAAAACGGTAAGGAGAACAGTGACGACAGTGGCCAGAGTGAGAGTGAGAGCGGCGGCCATACCAGTGCCAACTATGTCTACCGGCAGGAGGGGTTTGAGCCAGTGGCCTATGGTGACAACCTGTATGTCTGCATCCCCTGTGGCAAAGGCTTCCCGAGCTCTGAGCAGCTCAATGCCCACGTGGAAACGCACACCGAGGAAGACCTTTACATCAAGGAGGAAGGCACATACGGCAGCAAGGATGAAGCTGAGGATTTGTCCAACCCCAATCAGTCCTACGCTGCGGAGTCCCGGCCCTTCAAGTGCTCAGTGTGTGAGAAGAGCTACAAGGATCCGGCCACACTGCGGCAGCACGAGAAGACTCACTGGCTGACACGGCCCTTCCCTTGCAACATCTGCGGCAAGATGTTCACGCAGCGTGGCACCATGACACGGCACATGCGCAGCCACTTGGGGCTCAAGCCCTTTGCTTGTGAGGAATGTGGGATGCGCTTTACCCGGCAGTACCGACTAACAGAGCATATGCGTGTCCACTCAGGAGAAAAACCTTACGAATGTCAACTTTGTGGTGGGAAATTCACCCAGCAGCGCAATCTGATCAGCCACCTGCGAATGCATACCTCTCCCACATAAGCCAAAGACTCCAGAATGAGCTTCAAGCCCATCCGCAGTGATTTACCTTTCTGTAGACTTGCTGCTTAAAAAAAAAGAAAAAAAGAAAAAAAAAAAGGGGGCAACTTCCCATACTCTGTTCAGTCATGAGAGGCCTAAACAAATGTAGCTTTAACATTTAAAAAAAAAAGTTCATTTTTTTTCCTTTTTTTAAAAAAAGAAAGGTCCACAGCCAAGCTGATGCATTTAGTCCCAGTCTCCCTTCAAATTTTGATGACCTGGCAAGAAATGCCTCTTCTTTTTGCACACATCAACTTCATTGCCATATTGTTTATCTGGAGCAGGTAAGGGGACCTTGGGGAACTTTCAGCCTCTGCTGGCTCCCCTTCCCTGCCTCTTTTTGTGTTCCTGTCATTGTACTCACCTCCTCTCCTAAAACCAAACTCAGTAGGGGTATTTCTTGCCATTAAAAAAAACCCAACAAAATACACCTTTTCAGTGGCCTAAGTAGCTGTGAAATAACAGCATTCTCAAGTGCAGAAGCTGTGTCTGTGGACCATCTCACAGGGTTGGCAGCCCCTCCAGACTGTGGGAAAGCCACAGCGGTGGTGGAGCCCAGCCCTGTGTGCTGGGCTGGCGATGGTGTGGGGAGCAGCTCTCAGGGCTGTGCCAGCCCCAGTACTTCATTTCAACAAATGGCGAAGCCTCCCTTACCATCCCTCCCCATTTTGGTTTTGGTCTTTGTCCTTGGCACACATAACCACGTGCCACCTTCTCCCATAAAACACGCAAACCTCTTTTGCCTTACCCATGACTGAACAGGGACTGGATGCCCTGGGAATTTCTTTCAGTGAGCAGGGGGTCGTCTTTACTTTTCTAGTAGTTTCGTATGAATATTCTTTGCTTAGAGGTACTTGTTTTATTAAAGGAAAAACCATTGTAACGTTTATGTGAATGTTTGAACTGGAAGGTCGGAGGTTAATTCTAGGGTGGGTGGGTGGGGAGGGGGTTTGATGTAGGCTGGACTTGCTACAAGTTCCATAGGTACTTTTTTATTATTTTTTTATTTTATTTTTTGTGTGTGTGTATGTTTTTAGCTTTCCTCCCTCACTAAAGAGCAAGTCTGTGTGGACAGACTTGTTACCTTTGCTACCTCTTGAATTCATGAGAACAATAAGATGGTTAGTGAAAGATTAGGCTTTTTTTTTAATTGTAAGTAATTAAATGTATAAAACTAGAAGCTAAATTAAAGTTAAGGGATTTTTACCACCCCGTCCTTCCATCAAAAGTCAACTAGAGAAATGTTAAAGCAAAGCTTGGCCAAAGACAAAGCAAAAAATACACTGAGCTAGAGGCTGTGCTGGCTGCTTGGACTGGCTCAATTCTCAGTCTCTTGGCTGTCTATAGTCACTTTTAGATAAAAGCAGAAAACTTCTCTGAGCTTTTTGGGCCCTTTCCAGCTTTGTTTATTGAGTCTGGATACTATGGGGAGGGGAAAATGTCCCCCTCATCTTCCACTCCCCCAGCACATCTGGGTCAGTCTGTAAACACCTGGCAGGACAGAGGGTGAGGGCATAGCAGCCTATAATTTACTAGAATCCAGAGTGCAATAAGGTGGGGGAGAGGAGGAGAAAGCAAACCAAAGTGTTTCATATCCTCCCTTTTAGACAATTTAACACACGCACACAAAAAAAAAAGAAAAAAAAAAGAAAAAATGAAAAAAAGAAACAAAATGTTCTTGCAACATCTGCCTAAGACATCACAGCCAACAGCTGCTATTGGTTTAGGAGAGAAGACAGAGAACTTTGCCCACCGATTCTTGGCCCCCTTGACTTTGTTGGCGTGACCTTGTGGAAAGCTTATTCCAAGCCTCCCGTGACTGTGGTGGTAAAAATTCACAGCCAGTAGAATCATCCCTTCTGAAATGACTAAGGTTTACACTTGCATTTTTTCATTTGTTGGTTTTTGGTGTTTTGTTTTTTGTTTTTTCTTTTTCCACTCAAACCAGTATAGTCTCTATGCGTAAGTTTTACCAAACCTCACGTTTTGTCTTTTTTTTTAAAAAAAAAAAAAAAAAGAAAAAAGGGGGCATGTTTGACTAAAACAAAGAAATATAAGCTTCATTTTCTATTGGGGTTTTTTTTTTTTTTTAAAAAAAAAAAAAAACAAAAAACTAACAATTTTTTCCAGTTTTGACCAAAAAACACAAAAAAAAAAAGAAAAAAGGGGGCATGTTTGACTAAAACAAAGAAATATAAGCTTCATTTTCTTTTGGGGTTTTTTTTTGCTTGGTTTTTTGTTTTGTTTTGTTTCATTTTTTCTTATTAGGGGGTTTGTTTGTTTTCGTTTGGTGTTTTTTTTTTTTAAAAAAAAAAAAAAACAAAAAACTAACAATTTTTTCCAGTTTTGACCAAAAAACACAAAAAAAAAAAGAAAAAAGAGAGCATGTTTGACTAAAACAAAGAAATATAAGCTTCATTTTCTATTGGGGTTTTTTTTTGCTTGGTTTTTTGTTTTGTTTTATTTTTGCTTATTTGGGTTTTTTTTGGTTTTTTTTTTTGTTTTTTTTTAAGATAGACTAGTCCATGAGAAGTTTTTGGGTCAATTGACTGAACTGAGGAAACTGGAATCCAGGCTCCAAGCAATAGACAACCCAGAGGCGCTGAGCCTTGGCCTGGTGTCACGTTACAGGGAACACTCGCCCCTCCGCAGCCGCTGCCGTGTGCCTCTGCCAGTGCCATTGTCCGCTTGCTCCCGCACTGCAGCGCGGCAGAGGTGCATGGACTTTTGCTTTTGTCGAACTGTGCTGAGACGCGCTGTTTTCTTTTCGGGGGTTAAGTGGGCTTTTAGCGTCTTTAGCACTTCCACATTTTTGAATATATATTGAATTATTTTCTCCTTGATTCTTTATCAACTCTCCCCCCGCCCCCGAGAATGTCCCCAAAATAGTCTTTGGGAAGGACGGGGAAGGCCGTGCCATCCACCTTGCCCTCAGAGGGAATCTGAGCAGAGCCCAGGCACAGCTGTGCGAGATGAGTTCCTGGGCGCTCTCACGCCGCCTTCAGCTCCCTGCAGCCGCCCAGGGCGGAGCTGACCCCGCTCGGCTCCCCCTTGCAGGCCGGGTTTAGCTCCTTAGCGAGGGATGCGGCCGGGTGGGCCCTGTCCTCAGTGGCCGGAGCTGCCAGAGGCCCCGTGGCACGGCCGAGCCCGAGGCAGCCGCGGCACGGAGCTCCTCAGCTCCCTGCTCCCCCTCTCTTAATTCCATTTTTACATGTGCGTGGGTGATGTAGCTTCTCCCCCTGCCCCAGGCCCCCTCTTCATTTGTTTCTTAAGCCTTGAGAATTATGTTGAACTTTCAGGACCCAATGTTATTTTTTAAAAACTATTTTTTGGAGCATCTTTTTTTTTTTTTTTTTTTTTTAAATCCCCTCCCCAGCACTTAAACAGTACGACATAAAGTCTGTGTACAGCAAGAGTATTGTACAAAAGGAAATTATGTTCTTTTTTCAAATAGCTGTGTAAAGTTGTGTTCCATAGACTGAGTATAAACAACATTTTCCAATTTGTGACAGTAATAATGAATTACTAATAATACTCAAAACTTCAGGGACTGTTTCAGGCCTGCTTGGGGCCTAAACACTCAACTGCATTTGTACGACATAGTATTGTATCAACATTTTTCTGTATTTTAATGAGAAAGCAAAACACTAGTTTCATATTTAAGATTTTAAGAGTTTTAGGGTGGGGGGGAGGGAGCTGAGTTCTTGGTTTTTTTTAAATTTTATTTTGAATTTTTTTTTAAATACACAAAGAGCCTCAAGAGGAAAAAAAACAATTTATACACAAAGAGCCTCAAGAGGAAAAAAACCAATTTAAAAGGAAACAAAAAAAAAAAGAAAAAAAAAAGAGGCCAGGCAGCTTAAGTATATGCTTTAGTCACTTAGTTCCAGAATGTTTTCGGAATAACAGGAAAAAAAGATAAAATAGCAAAAGTTGTATAAAAGAATAAGAAGCTCATACCCAAATTCACAAAACTATTTTTTAAACCAAAGCACATTTGAATGAGTATGGAACCTCACTTGGCTCAGAAAAGTACTAATATATTTATCTCATTGTTTACATAAACTTTTACAGTTTCAGACCTCAACAGATCTAGGGGCCAGTCAAAATTAATCTTTGCTTTTTCCATTGGTTTGTCTCTGAAGGCTACGCAGTGTTCCCCAGCTTGGGAGGGGGAATCTGTGTCCCAGCCTGCATTCCAGCACTGCTCCGGGAGGGTGGGGAGAGGGTGGGCAATTACAAATATGGCATGTACAACTTTTTTTTTTCTTCAATCCATGAGAGATGCTGCTGGGAGTGAGACCCAGGCACTATTGTAGAGGCATTTCAGCCTCCCACTTCTTCAGAGGAGTGTGAGGGAACCAAGAGGGCAAAGGGAGATGCAAGAAGCTCTAGAGATAAGAAATGATGTTAGAAGATGTTGGGAGCCGCTGTACCCAGCACATCTCCTTAACTTTAGCCATGGGGAGCCGGGCTGTTTCCAGTCCTTTACTGCAAAACTTCCAAAAACAAATTCCTGGCAAAAAAATGCCCAGAGGCCCAGCTCAGTGCGCTTGGGGCTGTTGGCAGGAGCCACAAAGCTCGCAGAAGGCACCAAAGAGCTATTGACACGCAGCTTCTGCGAGGCTTTGCGGCCGCGGCAGAGCACAGCCCGCTGCCGGCCCTGCCCGCGGGGCACCGAGCGGCCTGGGCCGGGCCGGGCCGGGCCGGGCCGGGCTCTCCGGGTCCTCTGGGCCCCTTAGTGCAACCGCTGGGTTGATTCACTCCACACCTTACAGTCCTGCACAAAGAGCCCAACCAAAACTCCTGAGGCTGCCTAGGTGGAAAGATAAGCCGGTCTGCATGGTAGTTTAAAGATGACCAATGAGGATGGTTTGCTAAAATAACGCTGAAGCCAAAAATAAAAAGGTTTAAGAAAGCTCCCCATCATTAGTCTTGACCCTTTGTAGCTTTTACCTTCTACACCAAAGCCACCTCAAACATTTGAGGGGGGGCTGATGGAAAATGAAATATTAATTTTGCCTGGTCTTAATATCTAACAAAG